ATTGGCATATTTTTTAATTTGTGTGAAACTGGCCAAATTGCCAATTTCTGACCACTTTATTGGGTAGCTGAAATCGGTCAATGGGCGGTTTCTTGTACTAAATCGATAGAACAAATAGAGTTCTAAAGAAATAGTTAAGAGTTTGGTCAACTGGAACAATGGAATTAGCAGAAAATATGGCTCAAAGTTGGGGAAATCGCCGATTCATTAACCTTTTGACTGTCGCAAGCCCCTTTCTGAAAATGTCATTCTATGTCACAAAATTATTGGAAAACAAAAAAAAAAAATAAATTTTTCTTATGAAATGATAGAGAATCTTTTCCCGATGGTAATGACACCAAAAGTACGAAATTTGGTCGAAAAGTCAAGGAATTACTCTCCCGCAAAGTAAGCGTGTCTCGGCGACATATACACATCGGCGATTTTGCCGACTTTGCACCCTGTTTTTGCCCAATTCCGTTGTTCCAGTTGACCAAACTCATAGCTATTTCTTTAGAACTCCATTTTTTCTATCAGTTGAGTACAAGAAACCGCCAAATTACCGATTTGAACTATCCAATAAGGTGGTCAGAAATTGGCAATTTGGCCAATTTCACGCAAATTAAAAAAGATGTCAATTTCAAAAGAGGGTCCAGAATAAACAATTTAGACATTCTTGGCATTAAAATAACATATCCTCTGTTCATTTGTCATGTCTCTAGGCCCCTCTTATATTACTATTGCTTACTATTTTGATTTTTTATTCATACAAAAAGTAAAAAAAATACTGTTTTGCAGACTATTGCATTATTGTAAAAAATGGTATAAATAATATCAGTGCACTAGTGAAAGAATATTAGACTCCCCAATTGACGTGTATTGGACGTGTGGTGTGATTTGCTTACTCCTGAACATTGGTAAAAATCGAACATTTCCGATATTTTGAACTCAATTTCAAGGTCGTTTTCATCATGAAAATAATCAAATTCATCTCTATTTCTGTAATGTGTTTTCCATTTTATCATGCGAGACCATGAAAACGAGAATACAACAATAAATACTATACGAAAATACACTTCAAAGACAGCGTTTTAATCCAAAAAAACAGTCAGTTTTTTTTTCTCATACACTGCATGCTGCAGGATTTTTTTTTATGTGGTGCACACTGACCACACAGACCCATTCTCTCACATGTGGGCCTACCAGCTTTCTCCTGCTTGATTTGAAGCCACTAGAATTTACGCTTATAAATATGTCCGAAACAGTGGTGCGTAAGACGAATATCTACGACCAAAAGTCAAAGGGTTAATATCTCTGAGGTCACTAACTTTACGAGAGCGTAATTCCGTGTTTTCCATCAAATATCGTACTTTTGGTGTCATTACCATCGGGAAAAAGAGTCTCTATCATTTCATAAGAATTTTTTTTTTTTTTTTAATTTGTGTGACACCAGGTGACACCTCAAAATTTGAGGTTGCGACACTCAAGGGGTTGATGAACACAATTAGACCGTTGACATCACATAACGTTAAATCCGCATACCGATACATTTTATCGCTAAGATTTTGCCTCGCATACCACTAAAAAACCCACTCAACGCTATTCGTCCGAGACGCGTCTAATGTGCGGCCTGAGCCAGCCTCACATGTTCTGCCGGTGCCATTGTTTACCAGCCAGCCTCCGCGGTAATATCCAAGCATACAATCGGAACATTTCGTATTATTACAGTGTTTTTGGTGATTTTATATGCAAAATAAGTGACCATGGGCCCCAAGAAAGCTTCTAGTGCCAACCCTACAGGAATAAGGGTGAGAATTACTATAGAGATGAAGAAAGAAATAATTGCTAAGTATGAAAGTGGAGTGCGTGTCTCTGAGCTGGCCAGGTTGTATAGTAAACCCCAATCAACCATCGCTACTATTGTGTCCAAGAAAACGGCAATCAAGGAAGCTGTTCTTGCCAAAGGTTCAACTGTGTTTTCGAAACAGAGATCGCAAGTGATGGAAGATGTTGAGAGACTCTTATTGGTGTGGATAAATGAAAAACAGATAGCAGGAGATAGTATCTCTCAAGTGATCATAAGTGAAAAGGCTAGGAAGTTGCATGAGAATTTAATTAAAAAAATGCCTGCAACTTGAGATGATGTGAGTGAATTTAAGGCCAGCAAAGGTTGGTTTGAGAGATTTAAGAAGCGTAGTGGCATACATAGTGTGATAAGGCATGGTGAGGCTGCCGGTTCGGACCACAAAGCAGCTGAAAAATATGTGCAGGAATTCAAGGAGTACATAGACAGTGAAGGACTGAAACCTGAACAAGTATTTAATTGTGATGAAACAGGCCTGTTTTGGAAGAAAATGCCAAGCAGGACGTACATTACTCAGGAGGAAAAGGCACTCCCAGGACATAAGCCTATGAAAGACAGGCTTACTCTGTTGATGTGTTCCAATGCTAGTGGTGATTGCAAAGTGAAGCCTTTATTAGTGTATCACTCAGAAACTCCCAGAGCGTTCAGGCAAAAGAATATCCTCAAGGCTAATTTGTGTGTGCTGTGGAGGGCAAATAGTAAGGCATGGGTCACTAGGGACTTCTTCTATGACTGGTTACACCAAGCATTTGCCCCCAATGTGAAAAATTACCTAACTGAAAAGAAATTAAACCTTAAGTGCCTCCTGGTGTTAGACAATGCCCCTGGTCATCCTACAGACGTGGCAGAGCGACTTTATGGGGACATGAGCTTCATTAAGGTGAAGTTTTGCCTCCTAATACCACTCCTCTCCTGCAGCCCATGGACCAGCAGGTTATTGCAAACTTCAAAAAACTGTACACAAAAGCTCTGTTTGAAAGGTGCTTTGTAGTGACCTCAGAAACTCAATTGATTCTAAGAGAGTTTTGGAGAGATCACTTTAATATCCTCAATTGTGTAAACTTATAGGTAAGGCTTGGGAGGAGTGACTAAGAGGACCTTGAACTCTGCTTGGAAGAAACCTGTGGCCAGAATGTGTAGACCAAAGGGGTTTTGAAGGGTTTGAGGCTAACCCTGGGAATCCTATGCCAGTTGAGGAATCCATTGTGGCATTGGGAAAGTCCTTGGGGTTGGAGGTTAGTGGGGATGATGTGGAAGAGTTGGTGGAGGAGGACAATGAAGAACTAACCACTGATGAGCTGCTAGATCAACTTCAACAGCAAGAGGCCAGACCTGAGGAAACTGCTTCGGAGGAGGGGAGAGAGAAATTGAAGAAGTTGCCTACTTCAAAGATTAAGGAAATGTGTGGAATGTGGCTTAAAGTGCAAACCTTTTTTGACAATCACCCTAACACAGCTATTGCAAGCCGTGCTGGTGACTATTACACTGACAATGTTGTGAACCACTTTAGGAAAGTCATAAAGGAACGGGAGGTACAGGCCTCAATGGACAGATATGTTGTGCGACAGAAGTCCAGTGACTCTGAAGTTGGTCCTAGTGGCATTAAAAGAAGAAGGGAAGTAACCCCAGAAAAGGACTTGACACCTCAAGTCTTAATGGAAGGGGATTCCCCTTCTAAACACTAAGACTCACTCCTCCTCCCATCCCATCAATCATCACCAGATCTTCAATAAAGGTAAGTGTCATGTAACTGTGCATGTCTTTTTCAGTTTGTGTGTATTAAAATTAATATTTCATGTGGTAAAATTTTTTTTTTCATACTTTGGGGTGTCTTGCACGGATTAATTTGATTTCCATTATTTCTTATGGGGAAAATTCATTCGCATAACAATGAGCTCTCAGGAACGGATTAATATCGTTATGCGGGGGTCCACTGTATTTATATTGTACACTGTTTCACCATTTTTTAAATTTTTCTTCTTTCAGGAAACCAGCTGTATCCCACCAAAGCAGGGTGGCCCAAAAAGAAAAATGCAAGTTTCTTTTTTAACTTAGTAATTCACAGAGAAGAAGGGGTTACTAGCCCCTTGCTCCTGGCATTGTAGTATCCTCTTACAATACATATGGCTTACAGAGGAAGAATTCTGTGTTAAAATTAGAATTCTTAGAATTCTGGATTAAAATTTGCCAATTTTTACAATCATGGGTCCAAAATCCTGCCACCAATTCCCTCTAAAATTAAAGATGAACTATATTATTCTACACAGCCTCTCCTCACTTAGCAATGTACTCGTTTACCGACGACTCGGACTTACGACAGGCTCTCTGACCAGTATGCATACCTAAATAATGTATATTACATCTGATTTCCTCTATTCTGTTTATTACTATATACATTACACTACTGTATAAACATTTAAAAATACAGTGGTACCCTGAGTTGCGTACTGCTCCCAACTCGAACAATTATGTAAGTGTATTATTGTAAGTGCTTTTGTAAGTGTATTTTTGGGGGTCTGAAATGGACTAATCTAGTTTACATTATTCCTTATGGGAACAAATTCGTTTGGTAATAGTACTTGAACAGCCTTCTGGAACTAATTATGTACGAAACTCGGGGTACCACCGTACTATACTAAAAATATTAAAAATGGTGCAAAGGTGATATTAAAACAATATCAAAGATGGTTGACACAAACCCACTACCATTACAGTATGCTCTTTGCTTAGCAACGAATTCGTTTACTGATGTGATCTCCATCGTCAAGCAAGGAGAGGCTGCAATTCTAAATTACTGTACCTTACACACCTTGTATGTATCATCTGCATTACAAAGAAATGACCTGTCACATGTAATAGTTATGACCAAGAAAGAAGTGGTTAAGGGAAATATTAACTCTGCTTCACAAATGAACTTAGTGTTGCATTAAGACACTCTCTCACTGCTAATAAACATTAATTCATCAGTCATTAACAAAGGAGCACAATGAAAACTTAGCATATACATAAATACATAACTTGTTTAGAAGATTAATTTCATATTACTGTACATTTTTTGCACTGCAATTAAAAACTATAGCAAGTCATTATGATAACTCCTAATATAGATAATTATACGTCAACAGAACCTAATAAGTTGCATCAGGTCGACACTAACCACTGGTATAACGTGTGTAACACCATCACCAGAGTCGATCACTGTCCCAGTTAAAGAGCGCTCCGTTGCTTGACGGGATGCCCAGGATGCTGCCAATGAGAGCACTGCTTGCACCGCAATGTACAAGCCTGGTACGTTGAAAGACTCGAACATGATTTCTGTGTAAGAAAAAAATATATAAATATTTGGTATGCTTGATGCAAAAAAAAAAAAAAAAAAAAAAATTAAATCTCGCGTATGTCACCAGAGAGGAATTTATTTATAATTTAGTACTATACATTTACATCATCCTTTATACAATGAAGCATGGAGAAAATTAAAACGTAAAAGAAAGCACATATCAGTAATACTAACAAGGTAGTATGAAAGGCTGGATGTCAGGTAATATCTAACTCTTTCTTCCAACAATAATTATCTATCCCTTAGAAGCATTTAAACTACCAATCCCAAGAAAGCAGAAAACATCTGAAGAAGAATAAATTACCTTTTAGATACAAAATAAAAAATGAGATACAGGAAAGATTGCAAATCTTCAAGTTAAATAAAATACAGTGGAACCTCTACTTGCGAGCGCGTCCACGTGCGAGTTTTTCCAAATACGAGCAGTCGATGGGTCGATTTTTTGCTTCCATACGCGAGCAAAATTTCCACAAGCAAGCAGACCTCAAGGCAGGTTCCTTGACACTGGTGAGGGGCTCTTGCTCTTGATCTCGGGAATTGTATCTCATTTGTTTGTTGGACTATCTTATTGAAACTTAGGCAATGTATGATGGAAAGATGGTTCTTAACATACACCAAAAATGAAAGAAATCTAAGCATAAATAATGGAGTTCACTTTTCAGCAATTAGCCACTCCTCAGCGGTAATTTCGAATGGTTTTTAATGTTGTATTCTCGTTTGTTTGGTCTCATTTGATAGAATGGAAGATATATTACAGAAATAGATATGATTTTAATTGCTTTCATGATGAAAAGTACCTTGAAATAGAGCTCACCCTACGAGAAATGGTCCATTGCTTGGCTGTTTCAGAGTAAACAAATGACGTCACTGTCCATTCCAATATGCAGTCATGAATGGGTTGACATTATTTATACAATTATTGCAATAAGGAATAACAGTAAAGCTTATATTTGTGTGAATAAAAATTACAAATTATTTATATAATAATAATAATAATAATAATAATAATAATAATAATAATAATAATAATAATAATAATAATAATAATAATAATAATAATAATAATGAAAGAAATCTAAGCACAAATAATGGAGTTCACTTCTCAGCAATTACCCACCCCTTAGCGGTAATTTCGAATGGTTTTTATGGTTGTATTCTCGTTTTTTTGGTCTCATTTGATAGAATGGAAGATATTTTACAGAAATAGATATGATTTTGATTGCTTTCACGAATGTAAGTGCTTTGAAATTGAGCTCAACCTAGGGCAAATGGTAAATTTCTTGGATGTTTCGTGAATGGGTTGATATTATTTATACAATTATTGCAATAAGGAATAACAGTAAATCTTATATTTTTTGTGTGAATAAAAATTACAATTTATATAGGACGAGGCCTCAATAAGGAAGTTCACAACTGACCTAGAGATTGTTGACTGGCCTACAGAATTCTCCAAGGCCAATGGTATTGATGACTGGACAGACATTTTTCTTAACAAATTACTTAGACTATACAACAAACATTGTCCTATAAAAACGAAACAGATCACAAACAAACGGCTTGGTTGCCCATGGCTAACCAGCACCATTCTGAAATCCATTGACAAGAAACACCAATATGAAAAGCAATATAGACAGGGCTTAATATACAAAGATATTCTTAAACACTATTCATCAGTTCTCACCAAAGTAATAAAGAAAGCCAAACAACTATACTACTCCAGTAGATTCACAGACAGTAGAGGAGATATAAAAAAGACCTGGAAAACACTCTCAGATTCTAGGGACCCACAAACTGAAAAAAAACAAGAATATTGTCCTAACTAAACCTAATGAAACACCACTACATCCCACTGACACAGCTAACAAGATAAACGACTTCTTCTCAACCATAGGATCTAATCTCACCAATAAAATCCCACATACTGATGCCCATGCCGGGGACTACCTAGATGGGAATTTCCCAAATTCCTTCTATCTTGCACCAACTGAGCCCTCGGAAGTCACCGAGATTATAAAGTCACTTAAAAACAACTCAGGGAATCTGTCTAATGTCCCACCATTACTGTACAAGTGAGCGGCCCATATCCTTTCGCATGCTATTTCATTACTTTTTAACAAGTCACTAGAAACTAGCACCTTCCCAAAACTACTCAAGATGGCAAGGGTTACACCAATACATAAAGGTGGTGACCCTACAGACTTAAACAACTATAGGCCAATATCAAACTTACCATTGCTATCCAAAATCTTTGAGAAACTCGTGCACAGGAGACTATATTCATTTATAACAGCACAAAACATACTCAACCCCTGCCAATTTGGATTTAGGAAAAATAAAAGCACTAATGATGCAATCATAAAAATGCTAGATCTGCTTTACACAGCATTGGAAAATAAGGAATATCCACTAGGAATTTTTATTGACCTAAGAAAAGCTTTTGACACAGTAGACCACGACATCCTACTCCACAAACTAGACCATTACGGTATAAGAGGCCATGCGCTTGCTTATTTCAAATCTTACCTTACTAATAGGTATCAGTATGTTACCATTAAAGACACAGCATCAACAACTCGGCCACTTGATACTGGAGTTCCGCAGGGAAGTGTCCTTGGTCCCCTGCTCTTCCTCATATACATCAATGATCTTCCAAACGTATCCCAACACCTGAAACCCATTCTCCTTGCTGACGACACGACTTATGTCATCTCTCACCCTAATCTTGCCACCCTCAACACCATTGTTAACGAGGAGCTGATCAAAATATCGACTTGGATGACAGCCAATAAACTTACGCTTAACACTGACAAAACCTACTATATTATGTTTGGTAGCAGAGCAGGAGATGCACAAATTAACATTAAGATCGACAACACTCTAATTACCAGACATGATGAGGGCAAATTCCTAGGCCTATACCTTGACAACAACCTGAATTTCAGCACCCATATCCAACACATAACCAAAAAAGTATCCAAAACAGTTGGGATCCTCTCCAAGATACGATACTACGTGCCACAAAATGCCCTTCTCACACTATACCACTCACTTATTTATCCATACCTCACTTATGCTATTTTTGGGTGCTTGGGGTCAACTGCAGCAACACACCTAAAGCCAATAATAACCCAACAAAAAGCTGCAGTAAGAATAATCACTAAATCCCATCCCTGGCAACACACCCCCCCACTCTTCATAGATCTAAACACTCCCTTTTTCAGTACATCCACACTAACTACTGTGCAACCCTACATCTACAGGACCTTAAACTCCAATATCAACCTTGACCTAAAATGCTTTCTTGATAGTTGTGACAGAACCCACAGGCATAACACCAGACACAAACATCTCTACGACATTCCCCAGCCGACTAAACCTTTACAAAAATTCAATGTATGTCAAAGGCCCTAAAATCTGGAACACCCTACCTGAGAACTCCCAGCACTGCAGACACATTCAATCACCTTCAAAACTACCATTAGAAAACATCTTACTCCCTGATAAACCCCATCAACTAACTACACGAAAACCACCTGGTGGTTCACACTTACACTCACTCACCCTTTGACCATAAACAGAAATATTAATCTCAATCTTAAAATAATTAATCCTATGGTACTCCAATACTGAAACTATGTACTGTGCCAAAACAAAAGCATTCACATTGCTAAACTCACAAACTAGTATTTAGTCACTTAGCCATAATACCAACTTACCTCATAATCTGTAATATTTTAAAATAAAGAATTAAACTAAGTCTGCCCGAAATGCCTAGCCATGCTAGGCATTCTAGTGGTACACTCTGTAATCATTATTTAACTACATGTAAACCACACAACAACCAAATTCTGTAAATTCAACATTGTAATCTTTATAGAGTATAAACTTTGAATTTGAACTTTGAATAATAATAATAATAATATGTATAATAATACGTATAATAATAATAGTATAATATAATAATAATAATAATAATAATACAGTGGACCCCCGGTATTCGATGGCATCAGTATTCGATAAATCCGGTATTCGATGTATTTTAACACAAAAATTTCGCCTCGGTATTCGATGCGATTCGTACGAGACGTATCCACGTGTGGCCTGAACTGCCCCGTGTGTGCCTATGTTTACAAGCCAGGCAGTGTGCGCGCATCTAAGGATACATTCGGTATATTCCATATTATCACTGTTTTTGATGCTTGTTTCTGCAAAGTAAGTCACCATGGGCCCCAAGAAAGCTTCTAGTGCCAACCCTTTGAGAAAAAAGGTGCTAATGACTATTGAAATGAAGAAAGAGATAATTGCAAAGTACGAAAGTGGAGTGCGTGTGTCGGAGCTGGCCAGGTTGTATAGTAAACCCCAATCAACCATCTCTACTATAGTGACCACGAAAACGGCAATCAAGGAAGTTGTTCTTGCAAAAGGTACAACTGTGATTACGAAAGAGTGACCGCAAGTGTTAGAAAATGTTGAGAGACTGTTATTGGTGTGGTTAAATGAAAAACAAATAGCACGAGAGCATCTCTCAAGCGATCATTTGTGAAAAGGCTAGGCAGTTGCATGACGATTTTGTAAAGAAATTGCCTGCAACTAGTGCTGATGCGAGTGAATTTAAGGCCAGCAAAGGTTGGTTTGAAAGATTTAAGAATCGTAGTGGAATACATAGTGTGATTAGGCATGGTGAGGCTGCCAGTTCGGACCAAAAAGCAGCTGAAAAATATGTGAAGGAATTCAAGGATTACAAAGACAGTGAAGAATTTAAACCTGAACAAGTGTTTAATTGCGACGAAACAGGCCTGTTTTGGAAGAAAATGCCAAGCAAGACCTACATTACTCAGGAGGAAAAGGCACTCCCAGGACATAAGCCTATGAAAGACAGGCTTACTCTGTTGATGTGTGCCAATGCTAGTGGTGATTGCAAAGTGAAGCCTTTATTGGTGTATCACTCTGAAACTCCCAGTGTGTTCAGGAAAAACAA